TCTCCAACCAGAATAACCAAAACTAGTTCTACTACCATTGACTATGTCGCTTCATCTTTTGATCCAGAATTGGTCACCTGTTCTATTTTTAGTGCAGGGTTTTCTGACCACGAAGCAGTATTAACGAATTTCTCATTGAATTCCTTACGTAAGGGTGCTTCCCGCAAATTGGGCAGAATATTTTCGGATGGAAATTTTTTAAATTTCAGTCAACTTTGCTTATCAGTTGACTGGGTCGTCCACTCAGATGATGTTGACTCCGAGTTCTCTAGATTCATAAATACCCTATCTGACCTGGCGACTAAATCCTTTCCTCTCAGACCCATCAAAGTCAAACGGCATATTGTTCGTCGATTTTAATCTGATACTCGGACGGAATGTGAGCTGGTGGCTCCCTACATTAGAATGCCAATGGTTACCTGACGTCACACCTGTTTTTGCCATATGAAACACCCTCTCGCACCTCATACCGCAAGTATCAGTTAAAAATCGACAAACAATAAACCATGGTTCATTAGTGGCTTGCGTACTTCTGGAAAAAATATGCGATCCTTGTCTCATCTAAAAAAATTCTCGGATAGCGTCTTCTTCAATGATTACGTAAAATTATACCGAAAAGTCTATCAGAAAACCATAAAAGCCGCCAAAGACATTTATTATAATAGGAGGCTGGCAAACTCAAAAAATGTTGCAAAAGAAACATGGTCAATTGTTAATGACTTGAGGAATAAGGCTTCTTCATCTAGCAAAATTCCTACTTCACCTGAGATCCTTAACGATTACTTTGTTGATGTGGCTAAGAATTTAGTGAATACCTTAACTCCTTCCCAGGACCCACTTTCATATCTCCCGAATGCTAAGGTGAACTTACACAGTTTCTTCTTCACGCCTGTAGTAGTTCCAGAGCTTCGCAGTACAATCAAAGATATTAAAAACAAATCTTCATCTGGGACTGATGGACTCACCCTCAAAATGTTCTCTAATCTTCCTGATTGCACATTAAAACATCTTACTACTCTGATCAACAAGTCGTTTCTAAATGGAGCTTTTCCAAACTGTCTTAAGATGGCGATAATTATCCCACTGCATAAGGGAGGTGATAAGGAGCTACCTTCAAACTATCGCCCCATTGCACTCCTTCCTACGCTATCAAAGATCATAGAAAGATTGGTTAAAAAGAGGCTTCTATCATTTCTCTCTAAATATAATATTCTAACTACCAGTCAATTCGGTTTCCTAAGTAACAAATGTACTAATGATGCAATGTTTTCCCTTTTCAATAATGTATACTCCAGCCTGAACTGCCACCACTCTACAGCCTCAATTTTCTGTGATTTCTCCAAAGCTTTCGACTGTGTTAATCATAATATCTTAATTAACAAATTACAGTTCTACGGTTTCAGAGGAATGGCTCTCGAATGGTTCAAGTGTTATTTTGGTAACAGAAGTCAGCTTGTGAGGGTGGACTCGACCATGTCCTCTTGTAAACCAATTGAATGTGGTGTGCCTCAGGGTTCAGTTCTTGGCCCTATTTTGTTCCTGCTATTTATTAACGACATTGCTAGTCTGGATATTAGCGGCAAAGTTTGTCTCTTCGCAGACGATACTAGTTTCACTTGGAGCAACCCGGATATTACGGAACTCCATAGAACCGTATCTAGTGACTTAATCACCATCAAATCATGGTGTGACTCAAATCTCCTGTGCCTCAACCTCTCTAAAACCAAAGTCTTATCCTACAGAGCTTCGCTCCAATCTGTAGTACTGGATAACAATACCATGGAGGCCGTTGATTCCGTGCAATTCCTGGGGCTTGTTGTTGATAAATCTCTAAAGTGGGACCTGCATATCGACGCCTTAGCAAAGAAATTAAGTTCGGCCTGTTTTGCACTGAGATCTGTTTCCAGGGAGCTTAACTCGGCAACTTGCAGGATGGTATATTATGCTCTTTTTGAGTCGCATTTACGTTACGCCCTTCCATTCTGGGGCACGTGTTGTGCGTCTCAATTTGAACGCATTTTTAGACTGCAGAAGAGAGCTCTTCGTTATTCTTTGGGACTTGGTAGTAGAACTCACTGCCGGGAATTTTTTTATCAAGTCTAGTATATTGACTCTTCCATCTTTATTTATTTTCGAATCCGTCTGCTTAATTCGTAAGCACTTAATATCAGCTATCTCAGAGAAGCCATCTCACAATTATCCACTGAGGAACGCAGAGTTGGATCTTTATCTGCCAATCCCGCGCTCAGAGTTAGTTAAAAGTTCAATACTTTATAATGCTAAAAAGATGCATAATCATCTATCGCCTAACATCAGGTCCATTGCATCTTTTCTCGAATTTCGCAGGGCGTTGAAGGTGTATTTACTGGGGAGAGCCTTGTACACAGTAAGCGAGTTGTTTATGGTTTCCTAATTCTAAATTTTGAGCAGCTTACTCACAGGTTTTGTTTTTGTTCCTGTATCATGATAGTTTATTATAAGTTATTGTTTGTTTGTTTTTTTAGTACCTATAATATGCTTACTCTCACAGTATAAGCAGTTAGACCTAGATGTTTGTTTATTAGTTTTAATCAAATTTTGACCATGAACTATTTGTTCAAGTGTTTGGTTTTGTCTGTGCTTTTGCATTTGTATGTTTTGTTTTTTATTTTTTCAGCTTTGTCCACAAAATTGTAAATTTTTCTGACAATAAAGCAAATTCTTTCTTTCTTTCTTTCTTTAAAAAAAAAAGAGAAAATAAATAATACTAGGCCAATCTTGTTCTTTTGTGCAAATTATCTTCATCTTCCAATGTTGGATTATAATGGCTTTCTTCCAGATCTTCGAACGATTCCTTATCTTTGCAATCACTATCACTATATTCCTCTTGTAATTGGTTTTCTGACTCTAAGCAAAGACTAGTTCAAGTTCAAGTTCGAACAATTATCTGAACATTTTCCAAATAAATCTGTACATCGCAGTACGTGTTTTCGACAGCAGCATTTTTTACCTTCACAACTGGATTCACAGCTGCATGAGATTGTTTTCAATAAATCTTCAGGTATGACTGGAAAGAAGTAATTGCTAATAATTCGACAACACTGATGCCTCGTTTTATAAAAGCCTCAGTCATACCTGAAGATTTATTGAAAATAATCTCATGCAGCTGTGAATCCAGTTGTGAAGGTACCTACCTAAAAGATGCGGGTGTCGAAAACACGGACTGTGATGTACAGATTTATGTAGAAAATGTTCAGATAATTGTTTGAATGTTGACAAAATATCGGAAAATTCGACTGATACGGAAGACATCGAGCTGCCTAGTCTTTGCTTAGAGTCACAAAACGAATTACAAGAAGAATATAGTGATAGTGATTGCGAAGATAAGGAATCGTTCGAAGATCTGGAAGAAAGCCATTATAATCCAGCATCGGACGATGAAGATAATTTGCACAAAAGACCAAGATTGGCCTAGTATTATTTATTTTTTATTTTTCTTTTTATAGTTATTTCACTCAGGCAACGAATTCTATACGTCAAAATGATAGAATCCTTACTCTGCGACAATGAATTCAACCGTTTAATCAATGAACCTTTTTTTCATCTATTTAACGCACAGCTTTTCATAATATTAACAAATTCGTTCACCGGCTCAATATTAATGACGAGATTCACTGGCTTAATGCACTTTTTCGTTATATTTGTGTACCTTTTTTTTTCAGTGTACCTTTGTAACAAAGAAAAGCTCAAACGCGAAGAATCATGTGTCTATGACCTGGTTACTGACCTACCACAACAATGTCGTTTCATCAACGTGAAATATGCGAAACCGACAGTGAGACAACTCCCGAATGGACAACTATTAGTCATCCCTAAAGGTCTGACGATAGTTACCTAATGTGAGAAGACAAACCATATGGAAATTATAACCAATCAAACGCTAGTTTTTTTTGAAAAATGCTTTGTAAAAATACAAAATCACACATTTTCAAAAACCAGCAAGAACTTCAATTTTGAACTGAAGATTCCAAAAATAGACATCCCTGAACTTCCAGAGAACGAAACAACATCGGAACTTCAAAAAATCAACCAAGAAGATCCAGAAGAAGCCTTCAAACGACGAGACAAATAGGAGTTCACAATCTCAAAAAATTGTCCTTTCAAAACTCTTATTCAATCATAGGTTTAGGTCTTGCTTTTTTATTCATAATTTTAATCTTTTACTGTTTTAGGAAAATTAAAACTTCAGAAAAAGGTTATGGAAATGTGAAAATTGAATTGTCCGATTTGAATACACAACAATCCACGTTTGCAAGATCTTGAGAAGGGAGGAGTTATAGTAACCAATTGCCACGCTATTCAATATTCAATAATGCATTTTTTATATGCTTTAATGAGCTTACCCCTTTCCTCCATGACTTTTTAAATACATTGTGAAGTAAACATCAAGTTGCTTTATCAGCATTACATTCTTATTCTTATTTAAGCCAGCGCAGTCTCATAAGGAACGTTCATTTGTTTTCAAGCTTTTGCTGTAGCAATTTGATCCACATATTTTCTTTTGTCACCTCTATATTTTAATTAATAAAATGAAAGTTTTTGAATCAAAAATATAATTGATATGGTAAATTTGATAAGATTTGTTTAATAAATAATACCCACCTTATCTTTACAAAAAGTTGTTTTGTCTTGAAATTCAAAGACAGATAGTTCTTGTTCCCTAGACTATTTTGATGAGTGTATTTGGAAGCAATTTATTTGTTACAAGTTTTGTTATCCTTAGATTATTTAGTACTAATTTTTAACCTGGTTTCTGCTAGAGCCTGCAGTTTCTTAATTGTAATTTTCCTAATAAGTTTAAATTTATAATAAGTATTTCGATCAAATTTATTTAGTCCCTTATTTTGCCTAGAGACCACTCAATTCATATGGCTCTCTCCGGGCAAACCACTTGAATAAACCTGTTCCCAATTTGTTATCATGAATGATATGATAAGATATTCTATAAAGTATAATAAAAGCGTCTAAGGTAAGAGAGGAAGAACTCCTTCAGAAAAATTCCTGGTCAACAAGCACGGACTATGAGAATAGCAACAGGAACATTCAAGGAATAGCCACCAAAACAAATGAAGTCTTCAGAGAACTGGAAAAATATCACATCGATATAGCAGCCCTGACAGAAACCAAGAAGAAGCAGGGGGAAAGGAACGGAAAACAAGCACCATTCACCATTCACCAAGCAAATATTCAGATGTGCAGCGGCGTACCTAAGGACCAAAGAGGCCAAGGTCAAGAAAAAGTATGAGATGTATTGAGTCATAGACCCAGATAGAATCCTCGAAGTAGCGATGAACATCAAAAATACCAAAGTATGGCGATTATCGCAACAGACGAGAAATCTCAGGTCGATTATCGACTATCTCGATTAGTCAGACAGCCTACTGACCTAAAGATAACTGATGTTAGAGTGATGAGAGGACCTGAATGCGCATTAGAACACCATGTACTTCTTGGGAAAATATACTTTCCTTACAAAACCGCAGCCGAACAAGAAAACGACGAGCAAATAACAGAATAAACCAATATCAAAATGATTTAAAAAAAAAAAAAACACCAAAGAGATCTACTAACAGAAGAAAGATCACAATTTCAAACTGATGGAATTGAAAACGACGATATAAACGCCTAGACCCCAGAAATATCACCAGGGTCCTTATTCTTGAAACAAGGGAACAGCGTTTCCAAGTGAACGAGTGATCGAGTGATCTGTCTTTGTTACTTATATTATCATTTGTATATCATTGAAAAAGACGGAATACTCGTTCTCCTGGGAACGCTGCTCCCCTGTTTCAAGAATAAGGACCCTGGGGAACTACAAAATGCATTAACTCAAAAACGGAAAGACTCCTGGGCCTGGCAACTTAAAGATCAAACTGTTAAAAGTCAACCCAGTAAAACTTATATAGACCCTTTCGAAGATCTTCACCAAATGTCTTCGAAAAGAACAACCGCCACTAGACAAAAAAGGGTACAGATTGGACTGTAAAAACTATAGAGGGATCACCATCACAAGCTTAGTAGTCAAATTATATGGACGTATTCTGAAAAACTGAATAGAAATCGAGTTCCAAGAATTAGAGGAATAAAATGGCTTCAGGGTAGGACGTTCTTGTACAGATGGAGTGTTTACTCTTAAAAATTTTATTGAAAAAAGAGTAGAAAGAAGTAGAGAAGTTCACCTGACCTTTGTGGCCTTACTGACACGGTGCCACTAAGTAAGTTGTGGTCAGCAATACGTCTAAATAGGATAAGCAACTCATATGTGCATGAATGCTGTTAAAGCTCTATATACCAATACATACAGCTCAGCAAACAAGATCGACAGCTTTCCGAAAAGTTCCGAACAACAAAAGGTCTAAGGCAAAGCTGCTCCCTTGCTCCACTGTTTTTAAATTTTTTTATTGAGAATGCCCCAAAATCTTGGAAGAGAAAATGTAGCGGCATGGGCTTACCAATAGGAGAGGACATACTTTTTACTCTATTTTTTTGCTGACGATCAGTTAGTTTATAACGTACTTATTTTGGCAATTGCCTAATTATACTGCTACGGCTAGTCAGCTTCAGTTCGGAGGCCATGGGTCTATGGGTTCCTTGTATACATCTTACCTTTGGGCGCCACCAAGTTAAATGTGACTTAACTAGGAAGATTACTTATTGATGTTCTAACAAAACTTGTACAATTGGAGCGCTTAACAATAAAACAACTAATTAGGTACAATAATGTATCTGGCTTTCTTTATTAAAAAATAATAACAATAATAATAAGGCGCCAAAAAGTGTAGCCACCAAGTAATTAGGACTTAACTATTGCGCCAATAAGTAGCCACGAAGTTATTAAAAAGGTGTTTAGGATTAGGCTTGTACCTAATTTGTGAATATTTGAATAAATAAAAAAAATGTAAATAATGAATATATGAATTTAAAATAAACAGTTTTAACTGTTTATTAACATTTGTGAAAGATTAAAAGAACAGTATGGGTTACACTTTACCAACAGGCAAATTAAACACAGAAAGGTGAAAGTCATTCTTTGGTCAACCTCAGGGTAAAATTCTAGAATTTTATTTAAGGGGCACTTATCGAATGTAATACCACAAGAGGTTTTAGGATTACCGAATAATACTTTTACCTGTCACGAAACGCGTTACGCAGCAACACCACGACTCCGAAGGAGGAGTGGTGTTGCTGGTAATGCGTTGAGTGTCAGGTAAAAGTTATTAGGTAATCCTGAAACATCGAGTGGTATTCAAAAGGTTATACAACGAACTAAAATTTAATACTTCAAAATTTAAAAAAAAAATTCATAATAGAATTTGCCATAAATGCCACCAAGCGCGATAATCCCAAAAGGCTTATCACTTATTAAGCCTCTCGTGTCATATGGGAATAATGTACAGTGAGTTGTATAACCGACGTAATTCGGTGTCAGATGATTTATATAAGATTTGCCTAAATAGTAAAGGTGCAACTTACATGTATACAACTGAAATGTATGTGAAAATCCAGAAGTTTCCAAAGTGAGATTATCTACAGGTTTTGGTCTCACTATAGATAGGCTAAGGTATGGTAAGTGAGTCATGAGTTCTATCCACGTTGTATCTGTTTAACGTAGAACTCGACGTGGTTCTGCCAGAGTGGCACCAAGAGAGTTGCTGAAGAATGGCTACCAAAGCCCCAACTGAGAGCAATCTAGATCCAGTCTATATAGAATCTCTCTAAATACAGCTTAGCAACTGTCCAACTATAGTCTGAGACTAGGACCCTATAACGATGTTCGTATAAAAAAACAAATCGAGCCCCAAATATTAGAAATAATCTTACCTCAAATTGAGGGATACTCTAGACCAAAGGTGAAGTCTTAAACTTCCAAATGCTGCTCGGAACAGTCCTATTAAAAAAAAATGGAACACGTGTTGTAGGTTAATATTTCCTGAAGAAAATCTCAAACTTACCGAAACAGAATCCAAAAATGACCAAGGGACGACTCTAGACAATTATCAGCAAGAAATTAGTCTACTTGAGCTCCCTGGCACAAAATTCCAAAAAGTCTCGCCCCAAAAATAATTAGGGCCGAGGCCCGAGACTGGACGACTACTCAGCGTGAGGTCGCAGATCAAAAGGGCAGATTCTTCATTTAGAATTTAGATTTCGGCAGAAGACTTTCATCTGTCAAACTTCTAATTTTGACATTGAAGAAAATTATAGAAAAGGACGTGTTCAGTTTCACCCCAAAAGTACGAACTGAGAATCGGTTGTGTAAAAAATGACTGGTGAATGTTGAAAAGTGCCTATAGAACATATATCAAAAGGTAGAACAGGTCTAAAGAAAACGCCTAGACAAAACAGCTGTTCAATGACATGATGGAAATGAAAAGTCAAAGATTAAACAACAATTATTATCATAACCTCAGATTACTGATTGGATTTGCAAACAGAGATGATGATGGTACTACCTCCTTTTCCTAAGATTCTAATCAATAACAGCGGGCCCTGCCGTACTGAATCAAACCTTCCTAGATCAATCAAAAAAACTTGCAAACCTGCACAAAAAAAACTTTCAGTAGAAGGCAGTAATCAAGGTAACAAAATCTGGGCACAGAAAAGACAGTTGTTTATTCATTTATGTCATTGTAGTTCTATATAGAATCATATCTACTAGAGCAAAACACAGTAGCATATCAAACAAGAAATTGAAAATGCTACAAGTTATAGCTAAGTCGAGTTACATGCTGCGAAAATTCCAACAAGAATATGAAAACTAGGGACAATAAATATGAAGAAAACGGAGTTTATGGCGGCAGTTGGCGACGAATTGCCCTTTGTTCAAATATCTTGGTGTTACCCTTTCTTCCAATGGTAAAAGTGCCTTAGACATCTCGAATAAAGTTGGTCAAGGGCAAAAAGTTATTTCCCAAACAATTCCTTATTATGGAGCAACAGAATAAGAATAAGAAACAAGAAAATAATATACTCATTGTTGAAACTATAACTACGTATCAAAAACCTGGAAATTAACAAAAAGACACACACAGAAAAGCTCTTTGCTGCATGGAAATGGATTACTGGAGAAGAATCAGCAAAACATCCAGACTAGATCATTATTAGAAATGAAGAAATAAGACAATCGATGGAAGTAAAGTCCGTCGATTTTAATGTGATACTCGAAAGAAATGTGAGCTGGGGCCGTATTCTTGATTTCTGGGAGGAGAACTTGCTCGGGAAGTGAGCGTGGTTCACCTCAAAACGGTACATGTCATATTCTTGAAAATGGGACTGTAAAGTGAAAGTTCCCGGGAATTTTGAAGTTCCCATCCTCTCACCCAAGAGAAAACGAGTTCCCGCCAGGGTTTCTAACCTCAAAACTTGGCGTTGTTTTCAAACTTGACGTTGTTTTTGTATTCTCCTTTCAAGTTCACCAAGTTCACGGCTTTTTCGTTTCTATGTGTGTCATTTTTATGAATGTGGATTATTTTAATGAGATTATCTTGAATACAGAACATAATCCAAGAAGACATGGGAAATGCTGCGGAAGCGAAAGAAATAGGATGGGATGTTCTGCGTCGAAGAATTCTTTTTCCCTTGATCAGAAATTCATGAAATTTTTAGGAGTGAGCAAAAATGTATGCCACGAAATAGTGGACATGGTTACTCCGTATGTTACCGCTTCAATGCAAATCTCGGCTTCAACCAAAAACTACAAAGGTATGCATTGAACACAGTATTCCAAAAGTTGATGAGCCACATGAAGTTCAGGAACAGGAATACGGAATTTATGCTGCGGAAAATTATGCGGAATATTTCCCTCATGTATAAAAAATCCCAAAGGAGGAATACAATTATCGAAAACACAGCGATGATGCTCATAGGGTACCTAATTAGAAATAAATAAATTATCAAACCCAAACGCCTTTCAGCTTTCAAAGTTTGGAAAAATAGACAATAATAAACATCAAACGTTGGGGTTAGATTACTTCCTCTTCGTTTTTTTCGTTTGAAAATACGTTTTGGTTAGTCCGAGTGACACTCGCATAGGCGGCAACATTGCGAGCGTTTGTGGGTATTCAAGAATACGACCTTTTAGCTCCCGGGAGCGAAAGTGAACTAGCTTTCCTGGGAACGTTCCCGGGAACACTCCCTTCCCGGACAGTCAAGAATACGGGGCCTGGTGGCTCCCTACGTTAGAACACCAATGGTCACCTGACGTCACACCTGTTTTTGCCATATACTTCACCCCCTCGCTCCTCA